GGAATTATGGGTCTAGAAGCCCATTCATTAAAACAAAATGGCCACCAGTCGGTCATTTTGAATGTTATCTGAAAAACAAAATTATTTGCATCAAGGTCCCATAATGTCTAATGTATATATCAAGTTTGAAAAAAATCCATCTGTAAACAGCTGAGAAATGCTTGATTTTTATGATTTGTTAGCACAAAAATGGCCGCCACTCGGCCATCTTGAATCAGATCGTAAAACAAAATGATGTTCATCAAGGTCCTATAATGTCCAACGTACAAATGTATATACAAGGTTTGAACAAAATCCATCTGTAAACAGCCGGGAAATGCTTGATTTTGATGATTTTTAGTACAAAAATGGCCGCCATTCGGCCATCTTGAATCAGATCGTGAAACAAAATGATGTTCATCAAGGTCCTATAATGTCCAACGTACAAATGTATATACAAGGTTTGAACAAAATCAATCTGTAAACAGCCGGGAAATGCTTGATTTTGATGATTTTTAGTACAAAAATGGCGGCCATTCGGCCATCTTGAATCATATCGTGAAACAAATTGACGTGCATATGTATGATATCATGTATGATGTATGTGTGAAGTTTGATTGTGATTGGTCCAGGCAGACGTCCGAAAACGGGGACTAAAAAACAAGATGGCTGCCAATCGGTCATTTGGACCAAATTGTTAAACAAATAATGATCAAAAAGTGACAAAGCATGTCCAAATATATCAAAATTAAAAAAAAACATGCTGCCAGCTGGCCATCTTTGATCTGATTATGAAACAAACTGACATGGACAAGTATCTTAACATGTATAATGTATAACTAAATTTGAATGAAAACTGACAAAGTACTGTATGTCAAAAAACAAAATGCCTGCCAGTCAGCCATCTTGTATCAAATAACTTGTATGTATGTGTCCCGCATAAAGTACTGTACAATACTAATTAAAAATATTTTAACTATTGCTGAAGGGATGACTAGGCAAAAATAAAATTCAAAGAATACTACCTTTTTTCCAGTAATTTACATTTAACTCGTTAGAAACCAGCGAAGTCACCCAACAAGTCATTTCATCAAAAATGTATTCCAGCTAACATACTTTACAGCACTAAACATATGCAAATAAATAAACAGATTCGACCCAGCATCCAGGTATGTGTGAGACTCTGTCCAGTGATTTCTGCAATATAACTCCGGTCAGACACGTGAATGGAGGATGAATTATAAGTCCCTGTTTTTGAACCTCATCAGAAACTCACTGGAAGAGCATTTATGAGAACATAATGATGTACACAATATACCATAATATCTATGTATGTACCAAGTGTAAATAACATTGTTCATGTTTCTATTCATGATCAAAATGCTTGATTTTTGGTGAATATTTACCACTGAAATGGCCACCAATCAGCCATCTTAAAACACGGTGGTCGTCGTGCAGCGTGTGTTTGAATTTCATATAAATAAACAATGTATTTTACACACGTTGTATCGGTCGCTATGAGTCCTATATACGCAGCACAAAGACTCTCGCCCTTTAAAATTAGAATAAGTAGATTAACTGGTCGTCAGTTTGAGTGAAATCAGTCCAGGATTGTCTAAGAAATGATTCAGAAAGAAGAACCCACAGTGCTTGAACTTCATTACGACTGAGAAGCTAATTAAAATAAACACATCTAAATTATACCTTTAAGGTTTTCAACAAGTTAGAAATAACATGACATTTTTGAAGACCGGTATAAAAATGATTCAACTGATACCGCTTTTGGCAGGTTATAAACTAAATAGAATTATGTGCTCTGTAAGTCTGCAGTATTAGATTGTTATCTAATTTGCCATACATCGAATATCTTCAAATTGAATATGCACTCACTCTGCACTGACCCTGATTGCTGATCAAAATACAAGATTGGGGTTGGTTGGAAATAAGATTAGAAGGCATATAACACAACCCCTGCCAAGGATATAAAACATAGTATAACTATCACAACCTTGCCCAGGCAGCAAATACTAGTAAGCCTATAACGGAGTAGTGAATTGACACAACCCCTGCCAAGGATATAAAACATAGTATAACTATCACAACCTTGCCCAGACAGCAAATACGAGTAAGCCTATAACGGAGTAGTGAATTGACACAACCCCTGCCAAGGATATAAAACATAGTATAACTATCACAACCTTGCCCAGGCAGCAAATACGAGTAAGCCTATAACGGAGTAGTGAATTGACACAACCCCTGCCAAGGATATAAAACATAGTATAACTATCACAACCTTGCCCAGACAGCAAATACGAGTAAGCCTATAACGGAGTAGTGAATTGACACAACCCCTGCCAAGGATATAAAACATAGTATAACTATCACAACCTTGCCCAGACAGCAAATACTAGTAAGCCTATAACGGAGTAGTGAATTGACACAACCCCTGCCAAGGATATAAAACATAGTATAACTATCACAACCTTGCCCAGGCAGCAAATACGAGTAAGCCTATAACGGAGTAGTGAATTGACACAACCCCTGCCAAGGATATAAAACATAGTATAACTATCACAACCTTGCCCAGACAGCAAATACTAGTAAGCCTTTACATAAAATGTCTTCCTTAATGAGAAAATCTACATTGGAAAATCTGCACAATGCAAAACGTTTTTTGTTGTTGCTATTTTGGACTCATTTTTCATTAAATTATTACTATTATAATAAAGTTATCACGAGAATACTGCAAAGTATGCATTCAGGCAGTACGGGATTGCATCGGCATACTGCCTTCAAGAATGTTTTACAGATGTATACACGTTGGTCACTTAGTGATGAACAACATGCTATTAATATAACTATATTTGACCCGCTAAGCCAACTGCATCTAGTTTTTGACCTTGCAGTGTTCAATTTTGAGTTTACAACAGCCCAATCGGGAAACTATTTTGTTCAGTTATAAGATCATACTTCTCAATGGCTCAAATTTGGTTGTCATACTTTGTTTAAATGAAGGTGATTTAATATGATTCCCTAACATCACCTGATGCTTGAAACCGCATTCACATTTCTGTGTTTAATTTGCTAATTACACGGAATCACTAAGAATCATGACATAATCTACTTCAGCCTACCTAGCATTGCTGTTAAATATAATAACATTTTGCTAATTTTGGAGACGTAGAGAAAATTACAAGTACCTCATGCGTTCATACATGAAAAAAACAGCGACATTAGTAAGCTAAACACGCACCTCACAACCATATCATATGCTACCTGCTTGTATACATGCATGATATCGATTTCATTACATTTACGTGCATTTTATAATCAACAGTAAAATGAATCAAAGTGAATGTGTATCACATTTTACACATACGGTTCGATGGATTAAATAGCTCTTATAACATTATGTGCGACAGTGTCTTGCATACATACACTGACAAGTCGATATCTCAGATCACCAAGTGGCCAATGCCTTGCATACAAACACATTTACATGTCCCGACTAATCACAACAAGAGATCTAATCACAAATACATGTAATCCTCTAGGTTTCCACATCATAAATTCTAATAATACTTTCTTGTGAATTAAAATCAATTCCTATCAAGAATTCTAGAGGACTGATATTAACTAACAAGATGACTTGGAGGATTTCGAAAAATATACTTTTCATTTGTTCTTATCACATCATGAGGAGACTTAATGGTTATCGCGCAGCGGTGATTTCATCAATTTTACATTTTTTCTCAAATATCTATAACACATATTCGAGAAATTAATTCAACGATGGAATTGTTTTCCACTTCAAAAACATTGATAGAAATTTATGTTCTGCATTTTGATTTGATATTTATTTTGGACGAAACAAACATTCTTTATAGGTTTAACAAATCATCTGCTGATGTTGTTTTCTCCAATTGTTTTTGGCATTCTGTTGAGGGTTTTAGTAAGCAATGTGTTAACATATCATACACAGTATTCACAGACAATTATTATTGTACGCACACACGTCTGCTATGTCTATTGCAATAAACATTGACTACAACAATCCAGGGTTAATATTGTAGTAATAAAAGTCTGCAAAATGCGTACGTTTCTCAGCAATAAAATAAATTCCCAAGTCCCTACAACATGAAATGTACAAACAGAGATAAATATAATTATAGTCCATTTGATGCCTTCTTGGCCGATAGTTTACAGTGTAGTATTTTAGGATCTTAAAGTCCCCCCAAAAAAACTGTCAAGTAGCTAAACTAATAGAAAAGTGATGTATATTTGCAAATATTCCAGATTAAAATACTGTCAACCGAGGGCAAAGAGTAAACGTGATTTTATTGAAGTTTTCAAACAAGTTATGAATTACGCATGAATAGATCAGTAAATATGACTCTTGGTTAAATATTGAAGCAAATAATTTTTTACAGTTGCTTCAGGCAATTCTCAGACTGCATAAAAGAGGACTATTACATTTGATGTTATTACTGAGAGTTAACTAGGTCTTGGATATTTTAAAACTGAGGTATATATGGAACATGTTAGAGAGAATCTTTCATCACCTTTTCGAATTATTTTTCTGAAAACTACTGCATTGATGTTTTTTTTTTTGTTCAAGAGAATGTACCTCGACTAGACTGTGTGAATAAACTTATAAATGGTTTCTTTGTAATGTTTTATAAAATGTGATTAATGTTGTTCGTTTTTACCATCAGTCATTTGGAAATTAAGTAATGATTTTGACTTGTGCATATATATGTCTTTTGTTATGTTAATTGTGTGACAAAACAAAAAGTGTATTGGATGTAAAAAGATGGTAAGACTGTCACAGACAAGACTGGTATGGTAATTTTATACACAAGATATGGTGTATGCTAACTGACACTTGCAGCCGACTTGTCAATTTCATGCAAGAAACAGGAATGACGCAATTATCTCATCAACGAGTCTAATCCCCGACCTAAACCTTCTGCATCTATGCAGGTACAATTAAGTGACAGAATGACTTTTCATTTACTTACAGGTTCCCAAAATGACAGCCAGAAGCTTCTTGAAGAAATCTGTGACTCCAGACGATTTTCTCTTAGCATCTTGCATTTGCCCAAATATGGACTGGTAGGAAGGAGGAGCATCTGGAAAACATGATTCATTAAAAAAAGGTTAAAGTCAATCAGCTATTAAAATAGAAACTGCTTTTGTTACAAGTCAACTTGCATATTTCCATATTTTTTTCAACAAATTTAATCAATATGAGTAAGCAATGTGCAATAAGGTCTACATTTGACCAAAATTAGTGTATTTATTGATGAAGACTTTGAGCATACAACCTTCTGTGGTTTGTTATAAAGTTAGTAATATATAAAATATACGAAATGTTTATCAGTGTTATTAATTTTAATATATAATTGGTCTGCTATGAGAAAGTTTGTGCCAAATTCAAATTGTGGCATCTACTAGCTGTACAGATGGAACATGGTTGACACGAAAGAATTTTTTTTGTATACAAGGGAAAGTACCATCTCATTCAAAACATTTATTCAATATTGCAGCAAAAAGATGCACCATGTCAAGGTTGTTCAAAACATATCAAAATACTTGATTTTAATACTAAAATGGCTGTCAGATGGCCTATTTAATCCTTACACTAAGTTTTGGGAAAATTGGACAACACATCCTGAGATTTGGTTCCAGACATGTCAAAAGTCCTTGTTTGGAACATCGTCTGAATGACCGGGAACTAAAAATCGTATACGAAATGATGCACCAAAAATTCAAAATGTTAACACTGTACGTGGAAGTGGTGACACTTAAAATCAGGACGAGGAGTGGTGACACTTTTACGATTCAAAATAAGATTAGCTTTTAATACCCAAACAGAAATAAAGTGAATAATGCAGCGATTAAGCAATCAAAGATTCTAAATATGTATAATAACGACAATATCTAGATAAAGATCAAGAAGCATGACGGCTAAGATCAATCCTTTCTGACGGGCTTGTATTTTCTACGCATTTTGTTTGTGATCTGTAGAAGTATGCAGGTAATGGACAAGGATAGATGTGTCACTGGAAGGTCACTGTAATCGATCACGTTGCGTTCATCAAACTTATTACGTGTATTTTTAGTGATCTTTGAATCATTTCACCAAATTCAATTAATACATATGCTTATCAAAACCTATATTTTAGTTATGAGAATAGACACATCTGGTGGTGATGCAATCATTCCCAAATCACTATTATTATAGTTTGTCCTTACTGCATAATTTTACGACAGACGCATTTTTACGCATCAAGGAACATGATGAAATTTTGTAGCAGTGAAGATTTCATTGAGGAAAAATTGATGGTTGTAGTAACTAATTAGAATTTTGATAAAGACTTACCATAGTTTTAATAATTTTTAGATATAACTAGGCTCATTTACCTACATGTATATGTATTTCATATTTACATTATGTTTCCATATAAAATAAAATGCAGCAGAAATATTGCAAAGAATGCAGTCTCGTATATTTGTAGATAATATTATTTCCAGTTTTGTAATTATCATACACATTTATACTGAGTGGCCTGCAGTACTTATTTGTTATCACTATGCACATTAAAAAACTCAACCACAGTGCATTTTGATGTTGTTCTCACAACTGTTTATTTCCAGTGATCAACAACTGTATATTTCATGTATTTGGCATATTCTTGCTGGCATTCCATGGTAGACTGAAAACCAGTAATGCAATGGAAAACACAGCAGTTTTACAGAGTTGAAGATTTGATAATGCAAAATACCACATATCGTTTGTAATGCAATGATACATCTAGCAGGGAATCTAATATTCTGAATGAATTAACATAATCCGCTACAAAAACATCATTTGTATATATTTGTCCCACACTACATATGGATGGATTGTTGTGTACATGTAACAACCTCCAAGTAATTCCCCAGTCTGATGTGGTATTGACATTTAATGCTATATAAAATTACTGAACACGAAGAAACAAAAGCCACTGTATTTCTACATGACGACAACACCTAATATGGCAGGACCCATAATGAACATGACAGTGACACTGAACATGATGGTGACACCAAACATGACGGTGACACCAAACATGACAGTGACACCAAATAAGATAGAACCATATGGAACATGAAAGTGACACCAAACATGATGGTGACATCAAACATGACGGTGACACCAAACATGACGGTGACACCAAATATGCCGGTGACACCAAACATGACAGTGACACCAAAATGCGTGAAACCAAACATAACGGTGACACCAAATATGAATTGAACCATATAGAACATGATAGTGACATTGAACATGACAGTGACACCAAACATGACAGTGACATTGACAGCAAACATGATATAATCATATGGAACATGA